ACGCAGTCACGCTATAAATGTGGCATAATTTTGACCACGTTTCATGTCCTTCTGATTCTTCAATTATTGTTTAGTTTAGAATAAACGATGAGATTTAATCATGAATATTATTTTTCTTTACGTACTTGCACTCGTTTTTTTTTTCCACATTTGTAAGATTCTTCTAAACTCAAGCATAATTCGAGATTAGATACCTCACACTAGGGGAGGAAAAGATCCTTTCCTTACACAATTGGATGACTTAGGTTTATGATAAGCATATAGTCAAAATCAAGTAATTTAGGATAACTATGACTAATATACAGTAAACTATATTGCTCAAAAACAAAAACAAAAAAATTCCAAAAAAAAAAATGGAGATCCTTATCTTTTTTCTTGCCACTTTATTTGACTGGATCATAAAAATTACAAAGACGGCTGTTAGAGATTTAAAATGGTGTTGTGATTGGTTCACAATCAGCATAAGAGTGGGTCCCATCTTTATGGAATTTGCGGCACACACCCAACAACATGTCTTAATCCACGTCTCATGTTGTTATATGGTTGGTGTAATTGTAATTTGATGCTCAATAAAATAAAAGATTAAAACTTTTATACAAGTATTTTATAATTTCATCTTTATACACAAATTGAGTAGAATTGAGCTTGCTTCGAGAATCTTAATTATGAGCATCTTTGAAATTATGAGGTTAATTGAGTCAACAAATTATATTTTAATAGTAATTATATAATCTTATACAATGCTTACAAGAGTGGCAAAGTCCTATATTATTAATATAATTTTTAATAAGAATGGAGTAGAAAATTCGATTTGTAAGGTTGATTACTTGAGCTATAGTGTATATATTGCTCAAATTTTAGTTAAATTCAAGTGTTGTTTTACTAGCTAAATTGATCTTAAAGTTTTGAACTCATGTTAAGAGGTTTCAAGTCTACAAGCATATTTTTCTGTTTTAAATTTACAGTTTGTTATCTTATATATTTAAGATACCAAATTACAGAGTAAAGTACACGCGGAATAGATAATAGTTAATTGTTTACAAATTGTAGTATACTTATTAGAATTAAAATACACATTATATATGATAAAAAAAAATCTACCACCTAGGTATATCAATGCTTATCCAATATTGTGAATAGAGCATTAACTTGAATAACATTATTGTTCTTCTCACTTTAATTTGTTGATATATTTATACATTAGTTAAATATCTATGAGTCTATGACTACTATTCGTGATTGCTATACAATGTATAAGAAGCTCTATAAAGGCAATTGTACAAGGTTTAGGTAAAGAGCCCATATTAGGTATATTTTAGTATTTAAAAAAAAAAAAAGAAATTTATACTTTTTCCGTGTTTAAACAAATGAAATGTTTTGACTTTTTATGCTTTTCATCTAATTAACTTTGACTAATGTTTATGAATTATACATAAAAATAAATATATTTTTATAGGTCATAGTTGTTGAAATCGTCTCAATAAATATTTATTAATATTCAATTGTTATAGTTTTTACTTATTAATAATTAAAGATATTATCAATTAAAATATTATATTCACATACAGGCTTATGACTTATGAGAAACATTTCCTTAAAAATTTTCAACCCGTTACCCGTTAATAATTTGTTCAACAAAATTAGCTATTGTGAAAAAAAAAAATGCGACAGGCTTCGTAGTACGAACTACGAAGTAGTTATTTAAGTGAGGTGAGCATATTCCCTATGTGCAATGTGCTCAATATCAAAGGATGTGACCACAGTTATCCTATGACGAAAGTACCACAGTTTCAAACCAAACCATCGAACTTGTATTTGAGTATATATATATATATGATAAAAGGCAACTAAATAGTTAATGGGTAAGTAAAACCCACGAACGATTATTTCTAAATAAATAAACAAAATGAAATGAATGAGTTTGGAAGCACTTGCAGATAAAACAAGACGCCAGAAATTGTAGTATGCTTTACGCAATAATAATAGTTATGTCGATGGATGATGGCAACATTATGATACACTGGACCAACTTGATCATTTGTTTTAGTCCAAATTAATTTAAAAGGTGTCACTTCTTCAATTCAATTCAATTCCCACTATCAAAGATCTAATATAGGACTATACGAGTATATGGCATCATATGATGCATATGTGATACTGTGATATTTACATATGACTATTACGAGTATATGGCATCATCATATAAAATTATATAGTCCTTTCATTTCACATTAACTGTAATAGTTTAATTTTATTTATTAATAATGAGTTACGTACTTTAATTAATTATGTTTACTATGTATGGACTATGGAGTAGTACTTAAATCATGATATAAAATTATATTTTGAAAATTGGTATAACATAAATTTTTATGTGTCTGGTTACATAGTGTAATCAGCCATCACAGGGGTTATATCGTTATTGTTATAAGGGTTACTTATTCAGTGTTACATGGGTTACTTTGTCAGTATTATAAAGGATTATTCGCAATGTTAAGGGTTACCGGATTAGTACGTATTATAGGGGTTACTTGACTAATACTCAGGAACCCTCTTTTATCCGGCCACTTGGTGTGGTTAGCTGCACACAATACACGTTGTAAATATAAAATTGCTCATATCATGACAAAACTATCACAAATTCAATTCTAGTGACAATTTTTTTCTTTATAATTGGTGAAGAACAGGGTTCAAGTCTCTGGAATTTGAACTTAAAAGTAGTTTGGAGCAATTATTTTGGAGCTTAAGAAATGCAAGGGCCGTATTTATTTTCGGCGTTATAAAGCTTGATACTTGTCAACTTTGTTTTTGATTTTAGTTTGAAAATATGAGTATGATGTAAAAGTTAACTAATTATGAATAAATACTTTGTCTTAAATACAAAATATAATAAATTTGTATAATAAAACATTACTAGCTCAATCTCATTTTACAACCTATTTAACATATTTTTTTTTTCTGAGAATTTCTTGAACAAAATGACATAGATCCAGTTAAATTAAGAGACTATTTAACGCGAAAAAGACCTCACTAAACTATATTCAACATATGTACTCGATATCAAATTAATAGGACCATAGATACACAATTGCACCATTTACACATAGATTTATCGATTTGTTAGGACCATAAAATCAATAAATAAGTGGAACACTAATTACCTAATAGCTATGTTACTTAGCCTCATCAAATAGCAAAGTGAGTCAAAGTTACCACACGTGAGGTTGTGGCCGCCAGTGACTTTGAAAAATAATGGATACTTCTCGTGGAGTAGATATTGTTGTTGTAAACTTGTAACTTCTTTTAGGAAAAGGTCAAAGCTTATTAATTTAGATTTTATTGTTTTACAAATACATATTATATGGAGCTTTATCAATTTTGCTTTATTATTATTTTTTTTGAAAGAATTTTGCTTTATTATTTGATTTCACATGATTTAATGATTTAGGGCCTGTTCACATTTACTTAATTTCACTTCAATTCAGTTCAGCTTCAATCAGTTCAGTTCAGTTACAATCAGTTCAGTCCAGCTCTTAATTTCCCTCTCTCACAAAATAATTCATTTCAACTAGTTCAGTTCAGTTCAGTTCAGCTCCAATCAGTTCAGTTCAGCTCACTTCAATAAATGTGAACAGACCCTTATTCTGTGATATTTTCAAATAAACAACAATAGATATAAATAATTTATTAGTTATAGAGGTGTTTTGAATTGAATACAATAAAAAGAAGTGTTTAAGTCTTCATAAATCAGAGTGGATATTCTTATTAAATATAAGATGATAGTCAAAATACATTTGATACACTTTTACAATTAAAAAACTTTGGAAACTTTATTAGCTTTTGAAAACTTTATTTGACTTCATACTAAGTCATCATTGATCTATGTTTTAGTAATGGCACTTTGTAAACTACTTGTATCATTGTATGTAATTAGGCAGGGATACATATCATACAATCAATTGCAGTGAATATATATATATATATATATATATATATATATATATATATATATATATATATATATATATATATATATATATTTATATATATAATGACAAATTGAATGGAAATAGTTGCCAATTTATAGTACTTGAGTTTGATTCTTTTTGCACAATTGACTCCTGTTTGATTACTGATTTCAAATCATAGCATAAGCTAACTGAAACAAAGTTGACTTAAGTTGATATTATCATGATCCAATCGGATGCAAAAATTTATATGCCGAGATATATACATAGTAAATTAATCCGCTAACCAATAGGGATAGTGACTATATCCTAACACGAAACGGAGTAAATCAAAATAAAAAAAAGTCATAATGTTGAGAAAAATTTGTAAATATATTTAAACACTCAAGTCCCAGCATTAATAGTGGAGTGTGAAAATGGAGCTTTGATGGCAAATTATGGGAGTCAAAAAGGCAAAAGTAACTAAACAAGCCAACTTTGCACGTTTGGGCCTTAGTCCAACTCTTTGACAATGTAAACTCAACCTCTTCCAACTTCTAAGAGTCAAACATACATCAGATACATCATTATAAATCATAATCACAAGATAATTAAAGCTAATTCAATTAAAAAGAAATTATCCACTAATACATCTTTTGAAATAATTCACCTGCCTTTTACTGTAATCAGGTTTAAGTTAATATGGATGTAATAAGGTTTAATGCATTATTAGTCCAACAATGTGATCATTTCATGAGTTATCTTACTGAATTTGACTGCTCAATTCATACATTTGATTCTAGAACAAGTATAGTTTTGATTAATATATCGGTTTGTAAGACAGTAAAAAACGCGTAAAATGAATGTCTTTAGCAACCATTTTAATTCAAAGTCTATGATCGAACGTTACTATCTGGTATTCTGGTTGATTATAAGAAGCGAAATTTATGTCAACCAAACAAATTACACTCACTAAATACTGCATCCTTTTGTAAAATGATCTTTCTTCAAAAAGTCATGTCCTTTTGTGCTAAAGTAGAGGGAAAAGGTAAATTACATAATTGATGTTTATTCCTTGTCTCTCTTGAATCTTAATCGCGATTGGGGACTGGAATTAAAGTGTTTAAACCCAACAATAATGTTAATATTAAGAGTTTATGACCCTAATGAACATGACAAGTATCTGCCTACTTACAACTTCTATGCCCTGCCTTGTATATTATTTAGTATACTTACATATCTAACAATTGACATCTAATCGAACAACCTTCATAACGATGCTGCCAATCCCCTGGGAAGTTTCTCACAGTTAGCCGGTCCCCATCCGATCTTATTTTTCTCATTATCATAGACCACCATCTTATCTTGCATCGATATATCTGTAACAGGAAAGGAAACCAGTCAAGAAACTACTTAAACAGCTAAAAAAAGGCGATCAACACAAGGATTATGTCGTAGCAATATTTACCTCCAATGATGTTGTAATTCCGTAGTCCTACTTCAGTACCGTTTAGAATCCCCAAACAGGGGTTGCCTTTTATCTAGCATACAAAAAAACAGTTGCTGTATTAGATACTGTCAGGAATTTAGAAAGGGGTGCAGAAGAAAATGACAGTCTGAAGGTGCTTACTGAGATAATGAGGTAGTTCTCAGGAGGAATTTCGTAATGAGCAGCATATCTGCCTCCATCTCCAAAGCTTAGAGCCAAAGGCTTGAAGTATTTTTTAACATCGCGTATGCTTTTGAAAGGTTTTTTACCTTTCCAGCATACAGGAAGCGTGTCATCATCAGTTGCATCTTTCAGAGACGTTCTATGTAAATCTCTCATCAACTGCAAAGCAATTATAATTTCTCAAAAACTGTCAAAACTTAAAACCACTCAAGGCATTGTTCTTTTCATCTGCATTCTACTTATTTGAAATTTTCAGCCCTAATTTAAATGTACTAACGGTTTAGATAAACTTGGTAGCACCTATCTGAACTCATTGTTCCTTAACTAATTATGTTTAGTACAAAACCTTATTCTACAAAACCATGATAAATCGAGTTTAAGACTTTGTTTTCTTTTCAAGATTCTCACCAGGGAAACTAGGGTGTTATAAGCTTGAGAAGCTAAATAGGTGTAGGAACTCCCACTGTCGAAAATCACCAGAAGATTTTCAACTCCAGTTGCTCTCCGACCATAAATGAGCTCAGCAAATCCAGGTGAGTAGTGTTTCCTGGAAACAAATTAAACATTATTTTTCACCAAGGGGCAACCATAAATCAAACCAAAGTTTTACAATACTGAAAAGGTGAAAATAGTCTTACGAGTAACCCTGAGTAGTGTTTGTCCAAACCAATCGTGAAGAATCATATAATTGATCTCCGAAGAATATATAACCTCCCCCTCGCGCACTTAAGCAGTGACCGACAACATTCTTGGTGAAACCCTGATCACTGAGTTGTGAAACAATGCTGACTTTCCCCTTGCCAAGGCCAAGTACCCCATCCAAGGGATGGTGAGATGAGCCGGGGATTTGATCATAACCACATCTGCAAATTTACTAAAAATCGTTACACAAACTAACCATTTAAACACATTAACACAAAGCAGGCAAACACATTAAAGAACTAACCCAATTCCTAAACGAGGGCTTTGTCTGTCTCCATTTGTGAGGTTAAAATGCATTTCATCCCTTAAAAGAACACCAAGAGAAGAACCACCATCTGCATACTCAACCTCATAATCACATTGCTCAGGGCTTTCACATTTGTAGTATTCAGGTTGCACCGCAGCACAGAGGGGATCTCTCGAAGCTACTAGGTCAGTGCTGGGTTTATAAAGGGGATGAGGAGCCTGCAGTTAATTTTCAAACACAAGTAACAGTCAGTAAAAGCAGGAGATTATACTTAGGAGTTTGGCAAAGTCATTAGACCGAAAAAACCCCATTCCTATGATTTGAATCACGGTATCTTACTTATAGTAGATAAGATAAAATTAATGAGAGAATAGAGTATATTGTTAAATGCAGAAACAATCACAAATCAATCAATTTGAGAAAACTAAAATTGCCACTTACCCTGGTACATCGGACACAGGGTGCATCACATTGGAGCCAAGTGAGATCACTGCCTGTATCAGGATCAAGAAAGTAGGGTCTTGGAGGATTTCCTACAAGGACTTGTACATAGTAAAATCTGCAATGCAATTACCGAAATACTTGAGAGACTAAATTCTTAAAAGATAGCAATAGATATTTAACTTCATGAACGTATACTATGAATTCAGTTATCATTGTGCTATACGTCAGCAACAAAACAATGGTCACCATCTAGGAGCATGACATTCGCAGCCTACATCAAATTGACGAAACTCAGGGTAACAGCTAAACTCCCCCCCCCCCCCCCCCTTCTTTTTTCCTTCCCCATGATCTGCGAGAAGATATATCAATGAGTACATACCATGAGATGCACTCAATTACATGAATTTTACTACTCAATATTCTGAAGTCTCTGAACTCTGAAAGAGACTAGTAGAGAATTTCCAGATTTTTAGAATGACAATCTATCACGGGCAAATTTTGCATATCAAAGTGGACAATGTCTCACTAGAATATATCAATTATCAACCCAACAAAACCAGTTAATAGAAAATCAAACTACTCCTTTGTCCGAGTAGTTGTCACATTATCTCAATCTGTCACATTCAAGGATTCAATATGATCTTAAATTACCTTGACCATAGCTGTATGTCCCTCCCAATTTCTATCCGCCATTTATTCCAAATGGGAAAATACATTAAAATCCAAGCACAACCCATCAGTATTTTAAGAAAAGATTATCACTTTTTTAAACATCCCAGAATAATATATGTGACCATTAATTTCGGATAAAGGGTACTTAATATGAGTAAATGACAATCGAACACATCATATTAGACCATAAACAGAATTTCCAGAAAACAGTCTACCAAATTACATAGATTATACCTGACCCTTATCTGTTACACCAATCAACACAGATCACACATTACACCCACATTCTAATAAGTAATAACTAACCTCTGAAACTATCAATGCAAGTTTCCCAATTTCACCAAGCTTCTAATATACAAATACCAGCAATATCAGCAGAATCTCAATGAAAACAGACTTTAAACACTAATCAACCTTAACAACCAACAAATGCTTATTAAAGACAAAACTATCGATCAAGTCTTCAACCATCAGTTCAACCATTTCAATCGAGCTAGTTCTCTAACATCACCCAAACTCAATGAAAACAAAAGAAGAAGATAAAGAGAAATCGAACGAGAATTACCCTCGAGGATAGACGTTTCCATACATAGGAAGAACAATAGAAGAAACCCTCCGATGAAGAGAGCTTGATGAAGAAGTTGCTCCTAAAAGCATTGGACGACCTCTATAATAATAATAAGGCTGTCTTTCATTATTACCATTAAAACTACACTCTAACATTGATGTTGTGCTCAAAAAGAGCAACACCAACAACCATAACATCTCTATCCATCTTCTCATTATTTTCTCTTTTTCCAACACAATCAGATAATTCAGATATATTAGTTTCTACAGTTGGGATTGTTATCAAGGGTCGTTGAAATAGTTGTAAAGTCTTATTTATACTATATGCTAAAAAACAAACACTTTGTACAAAATAAAAAATAATTAAAATGATTCTGTTGGGATTTCTTGACTTGTTAGATGAAAATATGTATTGCCTACATTGGAATAAATTGTTATTGTGACATTGTTTTTGCTTCTTTAAGGATTTTTCTTATGTTCTTTTCTTGTTATACAATGAAGGGGAAATAAAACAGTGTTAACGCAACTGTAATTCTGACTTGGGGGGTTAAACAAAAAGGATTCTTTTCTTCTTTATTTATTTATTTATTTATTTATTATTCTTAGGTGGGAAAAGGAATCCTTTATACAATAAGCTTTATTTATTTTATGTTAGATCATTAAAGCTATATATAATAAGTTTATTTTTTAAAAAAAATTATAAGAACTATTATTAAGACTTTAGGAATATAAATAGACCAAATGGGTAGGACTTGAGGATTAAAAAAGGAAATTTCCTGAAAGTTTCCTTGAAAGTTTATTTCTGGACCAAAATGATTGGATGTCATTTATTTACTATTCATGCGGTATGGTCTATAAACACGAAGACAAATTATGGAAGTGGGCTTACCAACTTTGTAAAAGACAATAATAGCCTAACCCAATATCAATAATTGTACTTCATACGTCTGGAAGCGCTGAAATTATTTCACATAACTAGTTCAAATTACACTATTAATACGATAAAGAGTATTTTTACTTTGTATGAAATACTACAGTGCTAACATTATAAAATATATTATTGTGAAGAAATTATAATTTTTAAAAATGACAATCAGACTAACCTGTAAAACTGATATGCAACAATCTGAAGACGAAAGCAGCAGCAAAATCCAAGCAGTAGCAGTGACATAAACAGGCTGGCAGCATAGCCTACAAATAAGATTGTGTTTAGGAAGCCAGTTATTGAAAAACATCCCCAGCTAAATTCCTACGAAGGCTGTCATATCAAATTCAATCAGCAATTACTAAAGGACTTCGTTTTATTAAATTGTCTTCCAACTTTACAACTTGTGCACATGTGTCAAAGACCCACATTTTTCCTCTAGAAAAAAAAAAAAAGGAATACTTCGTCATAAATTATCCTCCTCTCATAGCTAGGTTAACATAAACCAATTCCGGATATCACATAAATAAGCAATACTCCCTCTGACCCCTTTTGTTTGCATCATATGAGCTCTCATATAAAATGGGCATATGGTGCAAAAAAAAGGGACAGAGAGAGTATAAAACTTATTTTTAGGTAAGTTTTATTGTTTAAGTGAAGACCCATCTCGTCGGCTGGTCCACTTAAACAATCTGAACTTAGCTTTAGGAGGGAGGGAGTGTATTAAGGAACAAGCACGATATAAGCAGAAATATTCTTACTAAAAAAAAGTCATGATGAACAATTTGACGTGTATTTACATGCAGATTATTGTGTATGAGCAAGAATTTTATTTCTTCTTTAGGTACTCGTAATTTTCTTCCTCATTTTCATCTTTATTAACCAAAAACACAATCTTGTACAAAGTATGTGCATAGTCTTTTTTATGTGAGGAGAATTATGGACATCTTGATTTAAATCTCCCAAAGTTAAATCTTTCAATGTCATTAGTTCATTACAGTCCTGCATTTATTTAATACTATAATTTAATTCGTAAAGATTATACAGAACTGACACCGCTTATAGGTCAGCCAACATGTTAAAATGTTACATACTCCGTAGGTTACACTTGAGAATTGGGGAAGGAGAGGGCGGGGGGGAGTAAGGGAATCTCTATTCTTGCCATGGGTACACGAAAAAAAGAATTATATACAACATAAGCATTTTCCACAAGGAAAATAGTTTGTTTAATATCTATTTCAAAAATTTACAATGCCATCACTGGTATATTGCATGTTAAGACAAAGAATCAGATTCTGCTCATATCTCACTCAAAGTATCACATAAATCACAACCCTTAAACCTGTTGTGAGAACTCTATGCCAATCTACAGAATACATTGCTCCACTATTTTTCAAACTTCTCTGGTAGCCCTATGGTATGCAAGTCAGCTTCCTCAAAATTTGCCTGCAACTTAGCCCCGACATTTCTTATGATAATCCAGAAAAAAGCTTGAACGACCCTGGAAAATAAAAACCGGGTTTAAAACTCCGGGAGAGCCAGAAACAAGGAACCAGGAACATCCAAGGCAATCAGCAGTCAGGCTGTGGAGGATATTATTCAGGTGAAATGGATTTCTACATATAACGTATTCCGACACACTTCAGAACGGAAAATGACTTGCACTTAAGAAACCCATGGAAGTAAAAAAGATCTGAGAAAGTAAATTTTGAGTATAGCTAATTAAGTAATTAGTAAGTTATTTGAGTCATCTAATTAAGAGGGTGTTTGACAAAGAAAAAAAACCCAACTCCACATCTTCCAATTACTGGTGCAATTCCTAATCCAAGTCTCTTTGGAAACTGTTCCAAGATTTCCAACTGAAGTCAGGATACTTAAAGGAGATGCATCAAACCAAAAATGAGTTCAAAAGGAAAGAACTTGACCTAACCCAGCAGTCCAGCACACATCACAATTTTAGACCACAAGTGCAGAATGATGAGAAGTAGCTTACCATTCAAGTTTCTTCTACATATAGTCCACAGGGAAAAACCAGTTGGTAATAGATCGATATTTGTGGCATCTCTTACAGCCCTACAGAAGCACTCCTTCCATCGCAGTACAATTGCACTGGAATTAAGGGTAGAAAAAATAGAAGGCTGATAGCGGCTTCTGACTTCGAAGAAAAAGTGCTAAGAGCCCCCCCCCCCCCCCCCCACCCCAACCCCCCCCCCCCCCCCAAAAAAAAAAAAAAAAAAAAAAAAAAATCCTAAAACTGCCAGAGGACCTGATGTATCAATAATTTCCAACTCAACAAGGATTTGTTCAAAGAGAATCGTTAGATTACTACATAATCTCAATCCTCAAATACCCTAAAAGATACAATGCTCTCCACTTGATCTCCTTTATCTCTGTTTGCCAAAACTCCTCAATTATGGAGTCTTCAGGCCTTTTAATGATAGGATTTCACATCACACACCTAAAAAAAGAGAAAAAAAAAATCTTTAATATATGGAGTACTTCATCATTTTAAATGCAATAATTTCACATTGGCTTTTAAGTCCTAGTCCTCTCATTTGTACAAGAATTTCTCCTATTAAGAAAAGACACCTAAATAGCATTTATTCAGCACTAATCTTGTAGATTTCCTGACAGAAAAGCAGGATATGAATGGTTATCTGAAGAGCCTTCACATGAATCACATCCACCAACCCACCACAACACTTTCTCAAGAAATATGTTTTCTTAAACTCCCACCCCAGTATACATACAAGCACACAATCTACATAGGATCTCCACCAAGATAGCAGTCACCTAAAATCTAAAAGAAAAATTTCATCACTAGGAATTCAAAGACACTAGTATCGAATCTCTATATTACCACCAAAAGCAGGGGTAAGTTTTAAAGAAAAAGAGGCTAATTGTACATCTTGCCATAGCAAGCTTCCCCAGATGGAAAATCAGCAAGGACACAATGCAGATAAAAGATGACAGGATGTAGGAGAGCAGGACTTAGAGCTGAAGTCAAAATCTCCTGCAATACTAATATGACCAAAGTTATTATTGAGCAACAGTGCTATTAGTCAGCATCACTCTCCAAAGCCAGTAATTAATCTATCAAAGATAAAACTGTGCTTCGGGATGTGTAATCCCCCTCCATGTTGCAATATTAAAGGTATGAAGAAAGTATAACAAATTTGGAAACACATGTTCCATTGTAGTACAGGGCAATTTAGATGCTATAACACAACACCTTTCTGTTAAGAGAATTACTGCATCTTGTTGAATGTTTGAGACAAAAATCTTGGCTGTATCTATGATCAGCAAGATATAATATGAATTGTACAAGGACATTATCAAGCTGGGCCCTTTTAAGATAAGAGAGATGTAGAATAAGAGATCACAACACAAGTATTACCTCGCAATGACATGATTGACAACACACCAATGAGAAATGAGTACGTTTTGATGCTTATGAAGGTTATGAGTGTTGATTTATGCTATAACATGGTCTACACTTATCCCTTCTTTCAGCTTAGCATCTATCTCTACAAGAAAATATAAATCTCTATGTATTTATGCCAGTGAAGGAATACAAACTCAAGCCAGAGACATATAAAAGGGCATACAGTGAAACAAATTAAAGAATGGAAGAGAAATTATAACACAAAAATTGTAGGATTACATAAAAATTACAATCCAAGAATGAAATTCCTTCGTCAGCATGGACAATCTAGCACACTTTAAAATTAGTCATGTGGCACCTCTTACCATAAACAACAATATTATAGCCGGGTAATGCCAAAAGGATGGGTTTGGCTACATGGACAAAGATGTCATCCCCATGAATTGTTCATGTGAATCCTTCTCCACCACCCCAATTCAATGCTATGAACTTGGAGGGCCTAGTTTTGCACACCTCTTTTTATCCCTTCCAATTTATCATCTTTGGTCTCCCTCGGTTACAATTAATACCTTCAATTTTCCAACTTGTCATCCTACAAAGTGGAGCCTCCTGACGTTGATGTTGGACAAAGCAAATCACCACAATTGATTCTAATTCATCTTAACCTAGGTAACTCTCTAAACCTACTTTAGATTCTATTTTTTCTTGTGACATTACACATTCGCCTCAAAAATACACATCTTTTACATGTTCATCATGCGAACATGCTATTTTTATAAGCCCGACACTTTAAACTGATCAACAAACACCAATCCTATAATATTTTCCTTATATAATCAGAGGAATAATGAAATTGCATAGTGTTCAGACAATCTTCCATCTTCACCCCCCCCCTCTTCTTTTCTATCCATCCAGACCGGATTCCATAAATATCTCAATTGATAACTCCAATCTTCAGTACTTCCCTACCTAATAATTGGTAAAGTATCCATCTTTGGTTTCCAAATTTTGTCTCCAAAGTTCCTACTTATCACTAACATTTGCTTTAAACGCACCCGCCAAAACATTTTCATCTGGAAACAGTATACACTATATAACAATAACCCATGCCAGTATTCTATCAAATACAGCGATCCATTCCTTTCACTTTATTCTGCATATTTTACCATATATCACAGCACATACACAAAGATTAAAACACTGCTATTAGGAAGCCTAGCTTACATTGTATTCTGGGTAACAGAGAGATCCTATTCATAACGATCAGCAGGAGAGAACACAAAAACCCAGATTATCGCAATGATGTGAATGATTAACCTAGCCACAGAATGCTTTCAAGCTGAAAGAAAAGTGGCACAAAAGCTCAAACGATAACAATGAGAAAGAAACCATTTGGATCCTTGAGATTATTGCAATATTGCCTATTTGTCAGTTTGAAAGGTAAACTGACTAATATAGATTGTAATCAACAAATCAGATCTCTACAGAATAGTGACTGATTTGTCAACACTAACAACATAGCTTCTTAATCAATCAATCAAAGCCATAATCCCATAAGTGGGTCGTCTACATGAGCCAAATTTGATTATTCCGTGTAGTCATCGACCAAAATCTTCCTCCTCCACCCCTTACGATCCAATGCTTCATCCTCATGCAAATCCACATACTTCATATCCTTCCTAACTCCTTCCAATCAAGTCAATTTCGGTCTCCCTCTCCCAAGAAATATGATTCTTCCTTCTTAATCAAAGAGTGAAAAATGATTCTTCCCAAGAAAAAGCAAAAGAAACTTTGTTCCTCCTTTCTCCGCCTTACTTAGCATATTTTATACCACATTTAAACAAAATTGATAGCTGATAGCTGCCAAGCCACAAATCCTGAAAGAAAGGTGAGCCTAAAAAGACAGATGCAAGGAGCTGCAGCATAGGAGAAAGAAAATAAGGGCGCATTTGGTTCAAGAAGGGGAAAGAGAGAGTTTAAAAAAGGGAAACACGAGGAAAATAAAGGATAGACTTCAAATTCGTCTTATTGTTTGTTTTAGATCTAGGTATGGAAATCACTCAATATGCCACTACCCCTTCCCTACTACTCTTCCACAACCACAACAACTGCAAACACCTAACCCAAAAGCGTTGCCCTAGTCATAAAGAAACTGATTAGTCCACTATAAATCCCAAGTTTTGGTACATGATAATCAAAAGCATACTAGTTCTTTTGACACAAAATGGGAAGAAAACTTGTCACTTGTCAGCATTAGCACCACGAGGCGTATCACAACTTTTGTAAGCTTGTAAAAGCTTTTATTGTAGAATTTTGATAAGGCTGTGTCAAAGAACCCAACAAAAAGGTTTTTTTTAGGTTATTTCAATATTTGCCAATAGCATATGGATGTTGTGTATTTTAATACATCTCAGTCGTAACCAAGCATTTAAGCCCATAGAATTGTAAGAACGGTAGCATGACATGCAGATGTGGTCTCCATCTAAAATAAGCAAATCTATTGGACTATCTTTTAAACCTTCAAAGTCAATCTCCAAACCTCCAAAAAAAAAAGCTTCAAGCTATTCCAGTTACTCATCTTGAACTTGCTGAACAAACCTTCATCAAGGGAAGTTTGATCTTTGATGACCATCACATAATTAAGGAGTTAGTCAGGCATTCAAAACGAAGGGTCTTTCCCAGATGTTTAAACACATGGGAGGAAAAGCCTTTCCGAGATGTTAATAATGATTGATACCAATTGACCCCAATTTTATACGTTGGAGCTTCATAAATGTTGGTTTACTCAATAATCTGTCTCTCAAGCAATGGCTTGCATTTTCTCCCAAAATTTCCAACTCAACTACTGGCGCTATTCTAAATGTTTTCATAAAAGGTGAAGACCTAAAAGGGGATATTCGCCAAGGTATCCCACACTCTTTTCTTTGATTGGGGATCTTCTAACACACTTTACTCTTTAGTCATGGATATAAATTTCAAGTTCCATCCTACTCATTTTTTTTTTATTTTAACTTAGATTGTTTTATATAGAAGATCTAAGTTTTATTGGCGTTTTAGTAACACTGTGTCCTTTCTCCAACAGACCACTCAGAAGAGCCAGGCAGCCAGATCCAGAATCCGGATGATATCAAATCTCTCAGCACATAGCCACATAGCACACAAAATTGGCTAAATACCTCAAATAATTAAATGCTTGCAGCCTAAGATCAGTAATATAAATTTTGCATACAGTTGCATGCAGTCTAAACTCTAAACTATAAACAAAAATCTTCATCTTGATGGATGGTTAACATGCAATTTGAAAGCGGCCACTCAGCCTAAGCTTGGTCCATGAAAGGCTTGTAACTCTTCAAAAGCCATATCTTGACAATCATAGTGAGCTCCGACACTTTTATTTTTTTATTACTTCTATTTCTCCCTGAGGTTTGTGATGAACTAACAGCCTTAATTTGTGCCAATGAAAAGCGAAAAAGGAACACTATATTGTACATATTATCCCCATTTTTCACATCCAATGACATGTAAATCTTTTTTTTATACAGGTTATCTTTGCAATTGTCATACTAACACAAATCAACCACTGAGTGCTAACTGCTAACACAAGAAATGAATGTCACAGCTACAGGATTGAGAGAAGTTGTATCTAGGCAAGCAATAGAACCATCACATCTACAAAAGGAAAACTACAAAATAACCCACAGATCCTCAGTCTATGAGAAAGAAAGCCCCATTAGAATACTCACAATAAAAAACTTATCAAGGTGCCTCCAAAATATTGACCCACAAGCAAAGCGCTAAATAATATACCAATAAAAAAGATTATCAAACAATCTAGAAGTATCTAGTTTTCTCAAAAGTGGAGTTGCTTAGAAAACAAAAATACTAATCAGGACAATCAAAGATAAACTATAACTATATTGAATCAGTTTTCATCTAATCTACAAGATAGTCAACTAGTCTGCAACATATTAATTACTATCCACTCCTATAGTCCATAATTTAGCCGGTCGAGTGAAAGTAGGACAGAGGCAAGGGTGCAAACAAGGCTGGAAGCCGTCCAACTTCCACTAAAGAACACTGATTTCACTAAATCATGGCTTCCTAAACAACTTGGGTCCTTATGGAAATTTTGGCTTCCTCTAATTTGTATACTATATAGGACCATCAAACGCAAGTCTTATCATTTATATAAGCTAGTAAACACAAAAGCAAAGGGAAAAGATCCTTGCATAAAGGGAAAACACCACAGGTGCAACTAGTAATTTACAGACAATTTTTCGTTTCCCGTGAGGCCAAATTCCCTCCCTTCCACTTCTACTCAAAACACATGATTTTGTATAAAAACATAGGATGCAAACATCTCAATTACATACAAAGCATGAAAGCAGTATCATGTATTATACAGCAAAATGAAGATTCTCACCAATAAAAAAATATTTTCTTTGTACTGGAGGAGCTAGGAAGTAGGAAGACTAAAAGCCAGACCTTCAGAGCTTAGAAAGATGAATCCACGCTAAGAAGCAGTAGTGAACGCTGGTGATTCCTCACAACACTTCAAAACAATTGCTGGAGCTCCATTATCTAGCTTATAACTGCTATAGATTAAGTTGTCTTTACATTGTGGGATTGCTGAGTGCCTTCTGCTATATGTTTTAGTATAATAACCAAGCTCTAATTTGCACCTTTCAACTTTTGACAGCCTCCTCTTATATGTCCTCATAGGGCAGTCATGTTCCTCCTTGATCTTTACAGCTCCTGATGACCACCGCCTACAGTGCGTTCTCTGAGAGGAATCAGGTTCTTTCTTGCCCTTAGCTTCTAATGATGCCCGACCCTTCCTGCTATACGTAATCAAGCAACCATCTAGATCACCACCTTGCTTCTCGTCTTGTATTCTAGCACACTTATGCTCACAATCTTGTACAGTTTCAGGACATCCACTTTCCCCATCACCTCCAACATTGCTAGGTTTGCTAGAGCAACTCGGGTCAATAGCTGTCTGCAATCCAAGACCATCTACCTCAGGCACATCCTCACATTGCTTATTCAACAAACACCAGTTCCTCGATATTCGAGGTGAGCTATTCATTGCTCTATGCAACCTGAAAGCCAATTGTGCATCCACATCAACTGCTGAACCCTGTTGATCACCACCCCTATCTACACTAACCAAACCCACAGCTCTACTAGCTACAGCAATCGCCTTCGTTGCATCCATCACCTTGTTAAAAGCCTTCTCCTTCGCCTCACGGGCAGCGGCAACCTTCTTCTGAGCAACAACCTGAACATCATTCAAAGCATCCTCACCTCTCCCCATATCCTGTGAATCACAAACCCCAGAACTCCCCAAAGAATTCGTCAAATCACCCCCGGTTTTCGCCACTTTACTCTTAATTTTACTACCAACAACCCTAGCTTTATAATCATTCTCAATCAATTTCGGAACCCAACAATCAAAACAAACCGAAAATTCATCACTACAATTACTACCATTACCTAAACCAAAAGGAAACATCGAAGCGCACGCCTTATGAACCCTACGTCGACATCTCTTGCACTCATGAAACGACTCCATTGATGAAGATGAAACCCTAGCTAAACAATAAGAGCAATATTGCGAAGATTCAACAAGATTATAGCAACATTTACAAAGAAGAACGATTCGCCACTCACTAGCAAGGATTTGAAGCCGATTTTTAGGGTTTGTACTATTGATGTGACGATTGCAGCAATTGCAGTCCGACAAATTGGGCAACTCCCTCGTTTTCTTCATCCGATGATTTGGAGGTGCAGGTGGAGGAAAGTCCGGCGAATCCGCCATTGACACCGGCGAAGGTCGCTTCATCGGGGTCGCCGACGAGGAGGAGAGAGAAAATTAGGGTCGGAATATTCTGCAATGTGAGTTAGGGTTTTTACAGAGAGAGATTTTGGGGGCATTGGTAGCTTGGTGCTTTGCACATTGTCAGAAAAATACTGTTTGTATTCTCACTGCCTCTGTTTCTGTTTATTTTTTTCCCCTAAAATTTTCTGTTTTTTCTTCTGTCCTATAAAAAAACAGGAACCCTAATTTCCTGAATTTTACAAGAATTCAAATTAAAAAATGCTTGATGATGACAAGTGGATTGTGGCATACAAATTTTGTAATATGGTTAGAAGATGTGAGTGGAATTACGAGTGTGATGTCGTCTATTTTTTTTTTGGTGAACAGTGTGATGTCGTCTATAATACTGTATTAACGAGTTTAGGTGTTGGTTATAACTGACATGGGTTTATATATCGTGATTGGTTTTTTTTCCTTATACAACATTCAATTTTGAGAAGGTCGTGTTAATAAAGTTATGATATGTTAAGAAGAATTCTAGATGCACTGAGGGGTATGTTATATTCACCGGATTTTCTTATTTGAAATACTCTTATCTATAAAAGCTTATTTAGATTGTATGTTAAACTTGGGTATTCCTTGTTTAATCTTAATGAGAACCTATCTAAAACTAATTTTACTGTGTGGTAAGATTTTGTTTTTGTAAGACCTTAATTATACTTCCTTTTCAACACCATTGTATAGTATATTGTTCCTTTTTTGTACAGAATAATCCAGCACCAAAAATAGGACTGGTACATTAGACTAACTTAAATAGGTATGATCATGTAAGTATAGTTTGCATCAGATCATCAGCAGATTAACAAATTTTCAGAGAAAAAAAGGCTCTAATAATTTCTTTGTATAATTCTTTTCATGATGAATACAGTTCTGTTTTACATCTTTCAAACTGATATAAGTAAAAATTTTAGGGTGATTACATGCAAGATAGTGTCATTGATGGAATGATGGATGATGAGCATTCCCCTTCAACAGAAATGTCACTAACAAAAAAGCATTTTGCAGCTGCTTATTGAGTTTTTGTAAGCGAAATCATATACAGCTGAAGGCTTTGGTTTGGACTTGATCTGATCACTTCAAAACTGTCTTTAATTTTCTGAACATAATAGGAGATTGCAAAGTAAATAGAAATTGCAACCTTGAAATGAGAAATAGTAGGCACATAAAAGAAAGTTAACATTCTGAAAATTGTGTCTTATGTACTTAACACCGATCTTACTCACAGAACAATAGGTAGAAAAGGTCCAAAAGTCTCCTGTCATTAAAGGAGAGTTATGGTGCGCCTAGGAAGATAATTGGCGCTGTTTTGCTACATTGTCCATGTAAAGACAGTATAATAAGAACTAGCAACAATGTGCATGGTACCGTATTATTTACTGAAATTGAACTACTAAAGGCCAAGTCATGACAACTTACAAATGCTTTCCTCCTGAGTTCTGATTGATCACCTAAGAGGCTAAGACGGCCTTTAGAGACATCATCTTCCTCCATTGGTTTCTTCAGCCGTGTAAAGTGGGCCAATAACAATTCTTGACATGACTTCGATTCCATAAGATCAATTCAAAACAAATTGATCCAACTCTGATCTCAGAGCCATCAATCTTATCAAAATCAAATTGATACTTGATGTCCTAGGTAAATAAATCCTTATCTAGAAGGGTTTCCTGATTTTATATCTTTCATAATCTTTATTTAAAGAAATGGTAAATAAATTAGATATTATTGCATTATACAGCAGAATTGTAAAAACAACAATTAGAAATTGTAAAACCAATACTAAAATAAATTAAGAAGTGTACATACACAAAATCATTATTTCTATTACATGTATCAAAAAATTCCCTCAAAAAACAAAACTTTATATCAATCTTTATTCTTTAGACCATCCAAGTAGGGCAGGAATGATCTGCATAATGCTGCCACTCAACAAAGACTTCAACAGATTTAGCTTCTTCAGCGTGTATGGTGGATATCTAATTGATGAATCCCCATCAAAACTTCTGTACATAACGGCCTTCTTATGGCTGAATGCCTCAAAAGAGAATTTTCCATGGTAGTAGCCCATGCCACTCTCACCGACTCCTCCAAATGGTAATGCATCAACAGTCAGCTGTAGCATAAGGACATAGCAGCAAACTTTTGTCAGAGAAAAAAAAATTGATTTCTGTTTTGCAGAATTGATTTAAGGAAATGAAGAATTACATGCAAGATAGTGTCATTGATGAGCATTCCTCCAGCTGAAACGTCCTTGACAAAAGCTTTTTTAAGCTTCTCATTGTCGGTGAAAAGATATGCAGCTAAAGGCTTTGGTTTGGACTTGATCACTTCGAAACAATCTTCAATTTTTTCAACCTTATAAAGGGAATGGCAAAGTAACATCAAGTGACACTTATAATCAACTAGAAAATATAATAACAAAATGAAAAGGAACAGTGATGTATAAAATGTTCAACAAACCGAGTTTTATGGATTCAACACTAATCATACTTACTGTTACAATAGGTAGCAAAGGTCCAAAAATCTCCTCAGTCATCACAGCAGAGTCTTTTGGAGCATCTACCAAGATGGTTGGTGCTATTTTCCTACATTGTAGAAGTGAATATAAGGTAAGAGCTACCAAAAATAATGCTTGGTATGCAGGAATATATGGTGTTATTAAGACCACTGAGCTTAAGCAACTAAGAATCATGGAGCATTGCACGCCTTACAATTGCATTTCATCTGTTTGACCACCTAAGACGATCTTATCAGAGACACCATCTTCCTCCATTAGTTTGACTAACCGTCTAAAATGGTACAAATTTACAACTCTTGACATGTCTTTTGAATTCAAAGGATCCTTCCCAAAAAAGTTGTCCAACTCTGAACTTAAACCAGCAATCTGTCAACCAATGAGGGTAATATCAACATATAAGACAATCTATAACCAATAATCAGTCCACAACTCCACACATTATAAGATATCAGCAATAACAGTTGCATTACCAGCTTTGGAGCAAAATCTTTAGTGGTAATAACATAATCCGCAGCAGTGCAGGTCTGCCCGATATTGCAGGACCACTTTCCTGCTATGATTCTTCTTGCTGCAACCTGTAGTTAAAATTATGAGGAACAAATACTAACAAGGATAAGTATAAATATAGATTTTTAGTATAGGAAGGATTTGTACTTGCAAATTGACTTCAGAATCAACAACTACAGGGCATTTTCCTCCAAGCTCTAATACAACAGGTGTGAGGTGCTTTGCTGCTGCAGCCATGACTATTCGGCCTACTCTTCCACTACCTAAGAAAAAGAGATAGAAGCTAAGGGTTTTCGGAGATGTAACTATGCTGAAATAATGAAATATTGTGTCAAAAACAAATACAAATATAACCTGTGTAAAATATTTTATCCCACTTTTGCTCAAGAAGGGCAGAAGTTTCATCAACAGCACCCTCAACAACTTTTATTGAGGTACTGTCAACATATTCTTGAAATAAGTTTGCTATTAATGAGGATGTGGCTGGAGCAATTTCTGATGGTTTTAGCAGTACTGCATTGCCAGCTGCTATTGCACCAATCACCGGATCAATCGACAACACTGTCAATTTTATTATGTATAAGTAAGACTGACAATGACATACAAAAAAACACATGTTCCTTTACTTAATAACAAACACAAGTCTAGGATCCAAATCATAATCATAGAAGATTAATACGAGGTATTCTCTTACATACAGAAAGGATAATTCCATGTTGAGATAACAAGGACAATTCCAAAGGGTTCTGAGACAATCTCTGCTGATGAAGGAAATGTAGTCAACGGAGTTTTCACCTGTAAGAAACATGGCATTTTCCTCCTTAAACAAGTTCTAACTTCCAGATTTTCGTCAATATTAATCTTAACTGTCTAAAAGAAACTACTCACCTTTTCAGGCATCATCCACTGCTTTAGTTCCTTAATTGCCAACTTGCATGCAGATTTTATCATGTTAATCTACATTACAAAAGATTTGCATTAAATACAGATTGTCTACTAAAATTTGAATCATGTAAGCTTCCTAAGCTTTATTCCTCAAAGATAAATTCTATGTAAATTACATGAGTATATGCATACTTGAGATCGAATAACTTAAATTCAACTTCAATAACTATACGAATCTGCAAATATATATTGACATCCAAAATAACTTGGAAAAGCTTTTAGTCTGACCTCAGCAACAAATGCTTCAAATTCAGGCTTGGAAAGATCTTTATTAAGAGCTTCAATGATATCCTTTTCCCTCTCATCAACCATTTTTGCAATACCCTCCAACTGAGCTACTCTCCATTCATAAGTCTTAGTCTTTCCAGAATCGTACTGTTGTCTAAGCTCCTTAACTATAACTCCGGCTTTATCTGCATCAAAAGATGCCTCCCTTTTCTCTTCTGCCATTACAGAGATTGCTGCACTGGAACTTCACAGCGCGAGACACAATAATCAAACATTTGGCATACTAACAAAAATAAACTAAATATGAAGATAATAGTTCTTCAAACACATTATGTTACAACTAAAAGAGTGGATCATCTAGTGATTCTAGTCCATTCATCATGCCTCTCCTAATGTTGAAATCCGAAACCATGTAAGAATTGTTATATTGTTAGGTATATATACAAGTAATTCAACTCGTTAGATCAACTGCACCAAGATATAAGCCATTCTTGGATTACAAAGATTAAAAACCAACATAATGAACGAACACATATGTACACATTTTAATCCGCAAAATTTCCCTACTAGGTTAGTAAAACACGTAACTAAAAATAAAAAATTAAACCCAACACGACAACACGTGCCAATAACCTTAATAAACATGCCCATGTGTGTGGACCTAAACATGTCAAACATCCCATTAACACGTACTGGTAGTCTGGTACTATGATTGGATCACAAGTTAAAAAAATTAACTAAAAACACATTTCTTTTTAACATGTAATCAGTTCCTAAAATTCTTGAAAATAGATGATTCTGTCAATTCTTGGAAATAAATTCATCCAACAACCATCCATAACAAATCTTTAATTAAGTCAACACCTTATCAATTACTATCATAATAAGCGAGAAAGAAAGAATACCAGTAAATACGTGAAGAAATCGCAGCACGAAATCGAGTATTAAGCTGATAAACTGCCTTTGCTGAAGAATTATTATTCCATAAACAACCTCCAAAGTTTCTATTCAATAACACGGGAGAAACAAAAACAAAAAAAAAAAAATAATTAGATAATACCATGTAAATATAATAAAAATAAACTCCCTCGCTCTGAAATTAATTGTCACGTTGATAGTGTAATAGTTCAGATATTTGCGATCTCAATAGAAAGAGAAGATGGGTTATAAAATACCTGGGGTTAGTCTGAAGTTGAACGGAGTAAGCAATGGAAGTCATTGATTTATAAGTGTTTGAATGGGTAAATAATTATCCTTAAAATGTGGAATAATGTGATTACCAGGAAAATTGGTTATGATTAAAAAAAAATAATTTTATGATGGTAGCATAGAAAAAAACGAAATATTAAAAGATAAAAGGAAATAGTTTGTATATTTTTCTGGTTGTTATTGGTTCTGTTTACTAAACGACCTAAAGTCATAACTGTCATTTAGCGGCCTACTCGTGATTATTTTTATTTAATTAATGATGTCACATTTTCACTCACTCACTTTATTTAATTTTTTGTCTCTTTAACACGTACTACTTACTATAGGAAGAAGAAAGATTGGGTCAGTGTTACTATTGGGCCATCATTAATTGGGTGGGTTGGGTTAGAATAATTTGAAATAAAAGGTGTGTTAAGGTTACAAGAAAGGTTTATAAAGGGAAAAATCTTAGGGAAAAATCACAAAGTTTTGAAATATTAAGGGACCGTTTGGTTGGGGGTAATTATCAAAGGGAAGGGGAATCAATCACCCTGATTCCCTTTGTTGCTGTTTGTTAGCCCTTTTTTTCATTCCCTTTCCCCCTTTCATTCGCCCAAATCCTTCTAAATCCATTCCCCACCCCCAGGTATTCCCATTCCCATTCCCTACCAACACCACATCACCACCTTCCTACCTACCCAACCACCGAAAAACTTGACCCTCGCCGCCCCTCCCCCGCCCCTCGCCGACTCTCCCCTGCATCGGAATCGTCGATCTGTTCGCACGTCACCGATCCCTTGATAAACTTCATCGCTGCCCCTTTCGCACCTCCCTCAACCCTTTTCGCACCTCCCTCAACCCTCGTCGGAGGTTGTCACACCTCAAACGGCGAGGGAGAACGGTTTCTAGGGTTTATTCGGGGATGAGGGTAGATTTTTCAGGGTTGAGGGAGGTTTTGCGAGGGGCGGGGACAACCGGCGAAGGGAGCCGAAGGGGGAGGGAGGTGCGGCGAGTGGTTTGGTAGGTGGAAATGGTGGAGAGTGAATTTTGAGGTCATGAGGTGGATGTGTGGTGGTGGTCCTCATTCCCCTTGTTTTAAAGATCAAACAACATAGAAAATTTTGGTTATCTTCATTCCATTCCTTGTCTTTCCCTTTGTTCATTCCATTCCAATTACCCCGTGTGAACCAAACGGCTCCTAAGTGTAGCTTTCTCATTTCTTGCGACGAGACTCGGTTTTATTTATTAGTGATACGATATATAGTTTTGCATGTTATATTTTTTTTTAAAAAAAAAAAAAAACTTTTATAATTATTGAAGCGATAAGCTTATAAATCAATTCCAAAAGCAAATTCTAGAAACCAAAATAATAGTATATTCATTGGTAAAGTATGATAAATGAAAATGTCATTTTATCTCAACACTTTATGCCTATATATTAATTTTGTATTCACTTTATATCAACCAAACTATTTTTTAAAATTCATCTTTAACCAATCAAATTCTACTTTCTTCTTTTTATATCCATGGTTAATCAACAAAAACTCACTATGATATATTTTTTTTATTTATTTTTCTAAAGAGGTTTGCAAACAAAATATGTAACTTTCAAGTCTGTGTTTGATAATAACTTTTAAAGATTTGGCCAAATCAAAAACAAAAAAAAGAGTGTTTATGTTGCAATGTAGTTAATTTAATAGTGATTAACAATACAAGTAGCTTTTGCCCAAAAGTTTAAACATCATACCGTAAGCTAACATCGAATTATACTGGTACTCTGTATCGGCTAAACCTAAGTGATATCCATGTTTAACCATCCATGAGATTCATCATTCTACATTGATTTGGCAATCTTGAGTCTTGAATTCAAACATTCTTGTTATGATTGAAGTCACAAAATAGTCAATAATTTGTACTAAAATTTTCACACAAAAAAATTATGTATTCATTACTATCATCATACAAGTATTATTCATATGGGCTCCATTCTCTACCACCTAAACATTGGGCCAACTAATTCATTCATTCTGAAAAATCGAATATAATTCTGGGTCCATCTTTCTCTCTCTCTTCACTCCAAAGTACAGTATCAATCAAATTCAACTCAAAACAAACACTAAATTCCAAAATTCATTCATTACCCTAAAAACCTTCAATCAAAAGTTGTTCTTCTTTAATTTCCTGTAAATTTCTCTTTCTCTCAGAAAAAAACAATGTTATCTGTAAAGCTGGTTAGATCTCTTGTTCTGGGTGAACCCATCATCAACCCTTTTCATCTTCATAATTATAATCATAATCATAATCATGATGATAAAAATGGCAATGGCAATGATAATGATATTGATGCTGGTGTTAGAAAAACCCATGTAGAGTATGATGCAGATGATGATAATGATGATGAAATCAACAAAACCCAGAAAATGTTGAAGAAGAAGAAGATGCCATTGTTGTTATTCATCCCAACTAAAGAATTAATCTGTGATACTTTTCGATTAGCCGTCATTGCTAGAGATATTGGCATGGATTTTCACCCTTCTTCTTCTCTCTCTCATCTCCTATTTTCATGGCCTTCATCATCTTCATCATCAACAACAACAACGTTTTCACCTTCACCACCATCTTCATTATCATCATCAAACAATCGACCTTCAGTTTCATCGAATACAACAACATCAACTTCAACAATGTCGTTGTGGGGTTGTCACACAATTCCAAACGACGCCGTTCCGATCCCTTTTCCTTCTCTCTCTACTGCTTCTTCAATCTCTCTCCTTCGTTACTTTGTTTCTCTCTCTAAAGGGTTGTTCAAGCTTGTATTCCTTGAGATTGACCCTAATTCTAGGTTTAATTACTGTAATTATGATTGGGATTGTTCTTCGAATGTTGCTCTGGTTTCTAGGGTTTCTGGGAAACAGGTGAATTCAATGGAGGATTTTTCTAGGGTTTTAGCTGGAAATGGGTGGTCTCTTTTCCGGTCATCGGAGAATAAGAAAACGGCGTCGTCTTTGGTGTATTTGTTTAGAAAGAATGAATCGAATCGGGTTCGGGCGAAGAAGATGATCAATGGTGGTGGTGGTGGAGAGTGTAGGATTAGGGAGCTGAGGTTGCCTGCACTGGATTTTAAGAGTGGAGTTCCATTGAGAATTTGGCAGTACATCTTGCTCATGACTGATGATCTATTCTATCTTGCATAAATTATTTGGTGAGTTTTTATTTTTTCTAGTTTTAAATTTTGAATTTAATTTGAAGTTTTATGGAATATATGTTATGCTTTTTGGTAGAATAATTGCATTATTGTTATTGAATTCAGGAAAGAAATATTCTTGATTGTGTTTGAAGTATGAAATCATCTGTTTTCTGAATTAGGAATTGTTCCATTGTTCTCTAGGAAATTAGTGCCAAATTTAATCAGTCTCATTGCAATACAATCTGTTGGAATTAGGGGATAGACGGTTTCGAAATTTGTATAAGAAAATTTGTTTTCAGAGGAGCACTTCACTTCATGGTTACTCTGAGATTATGTTAGTGAAGGGCTGGTTGATTTTCGTGGTTGCCTTGTGATAAGAGTAACGCTACTTTGTTTAGGTTGTTACTCTTGTTGGCCACCTGACTAGGGTAAAGACTAAAGAGTGAAAAAGGCCAACTTTATTCTTACTCACTTGTTCTCGACTTTCTTGAAATGAAAGTAAAAATGTAATTTTTGTTAACTTTTAGGTTGGGTGATTTAGAGTTTTTCTTGTGATAACTTTGGATTGATGACTTGGGATCGTCTTTTTTTACCATTTTGTGTAAAGATGGAGGCCTTTTGAAAGTTTGATGGCATATCGTTGTACCATATGTTGGTTAATATCTTAGCAATGAAAGAATTGAAATGCTTGCTGCTTGTTGGTGGCTGTTTTTTGTTCCTTTTATTTTATTCCTATTGCCAATAATTTGCCAATTAAAATTTTGCCGAAATCATAAGCTATATAGTGAAGGGCAGAGGTAGTCATGAATATGAACCTTGTGCTGTAGCGGAGCTAGAATTTTCTCACGTGGGGTCGATATATGGTATACCTGTATCTCAATTGGTATAAGCTAAACAATATCGCAATGGATGATGTGAAATTGAATGTAACATGCCCTTGTTTTGAGAAGTGAAAGCGATTTGACCAAGGGCCTAGATCACTAGATGGATTGTCTGGCCACTTTCCTCACAGTGTTGCTCCACCTATGACTGTCTTCATCTGTTTGGAGTAAATTTTGATAACATTTGTTCTCTAGAATGTATGTGTTGTGTTGTTTTTTCTTTTGGCGGTAGAGTGGGAAGTTAGAGGGCAAGGGGACCGGCAAACTTGCTCCGCTTAATCAGTCTGTTTTTCTTTAGCATTTATGCTAAACTAACAATCTAGATACTGTCTGCATTTCAAAATATGAGGGGCTAGTAATTATGTATTGCCACTTTTAAACATGGACCTTAAAAAGAATGAATGTTAGACTCTTAGACTTGTACTAATAAGATGTTTAGCTTTTGTACAACATAATGTCAATTCCCAACACATCCAATTAGGTTTATATATACATGCCAATATCAATTTTGAATCATGATGTTTTTCTTTTCTATCTGTTTTTAAATGCAAATCTGCTTTTCTATGACGTTAGGTTTAGTTGATCTGTATGACTCTGTGTTTATGGTTTCTTTTGAAGCTCTGTTCAAATTTAGTTTGGGTTTGACAAATTTTCAAATAGTGATTGTGAAAATCATTTATGTAATACTCCGTAGTTTGTCAAACACAACACTATCAGCTCTGTATTTGAATGGTGTATACTGTACCAGAATCTAGCTACACCAATTTACCTCTACCTTGACATCTTTGTTATGTTTGCTTTATATTTTTGTTATGTTTGCTTTATATTTGTTATGTTTGTTATGTTTGCTTTATATCTTTGTTATGTTTGCTTTATATTTTTCTGCGCTGATTTATCTGAAAGGAGTTACATTTGAACTGCAAAGATCTCTGGTTTGTGTTATTACTGGACCCGGAATTCGCTGGGCACCTGTCGATCATAGAATTTTACATGGCAGATTTTTTTGTTTGCTGTAGTTATTCCTTCCACGATCCTCTTGTTCCCATTAAGCATATGCTTTTGTATGCATGCATTTATCTCCTTTCTACCCTCCTAAAAAATTAGATCTGCTTTACACTAAAGGACTAAAGTATGCTGTTGAACTTTTATTATAAAGAGCATGTATTATACTTTTTCTTTCTACGATTGATTACTTCAGAGTTGGATGATTGTTTCCTTATTCTAAAATCAATTTTGTTCAGGGGCTATGCAGCTTGAATCCCAATATTTGGCGGATCTCTTCAAGTAGACAGCACAATTATGCGTGGATCACTTCTACTTGGCCAGGAGAACCACAATCCAAGGAAAGCAAGGGTGAGGAATATCAGCTAAAGGAATGCAGCATCAGAGATCGAACTGTACCAGAGATCCCGTATACTGTACCAGAGATCGAACTTCAATCAATACATTTTTCACACCAATGAGTTGTTAATATAGTAGACAGCAACGTGAATAAAACTGTAAAATGCATGTGTATTCCAACTGGGTAAAAGTATTCTCACCGTACTTGGAGTTTAT